CACCGGACGTCTGATAAACAATACGGCACTTCAAACACAAAGTATTGGAGGTACCGCACGTCCGAAAGGATTGAAAAAGATTTCTCAATTTCACCATTTACTTTCGGACGCAAGCATCAGAGACACCGGACGTCCGAAAGAATTGAAAAATATTTCTCAAACTCACTGCCTGCTGTCGAACGCAAGAAACGGGAGTACCGGACGTCTGATACTCCCAACGGCTAGTTGATTGTTCAGCTACTTTTTATCCGTTGGAAGCATGAATGAAGCACTTTTTTCGTCTTATATAAATAGTGCATGGTCAGAAATTTCAAACAACTTTTGCACACTGAAAATGCAAAAGATATAGAATAGTTTTAGTGAGAAAACACTCTACAAGGAAGATTTGTAATTTTGGTGGTGTGAAATTCATTGTAAACTTTTCATTTGTAAGTGAATACTTCAATAGTGTATATCTGTGAGGGTTGTCCTGAGAGATAGTAAAACTTCCTAACTTGACAGAGTGGAACTTGGGGTAAGGAGGAAGTGAACCTTCCTTTGTACATAAAATTGGTTGTATTTCATCAACTTGAAGAAACTTGTTTGAATTGATCTTCAAGCGCAAGAGGAGCTTGGTAGTCAATTGGTTTGCAATTCTTTTCTTCTCATTTACTTATTGTTATGTTGTGATCCTTAAATTGTTTATCTCTTCTACTTCTCTCAAGTGATATTTGTTCATTCATTAATTGATTTATTGTGTGATCACTTAGAAAAGAGGGTAAATTTCATATTGAGCAAAAAGTGCCCATAACTTGATTAGTTTTTTAATAAACCTAATTCACCCCTCTCTTAGGTTGTTTTCGATCCTTACAATTGGTATCAGAGCGAGGTTGCGGGTTCGAGTTTCCCTGGCTGTTGTTGGGGGAGGGATTGTTGGCCTAATCAGCAACATCCCTTAGATCCCGGTTCGAAGGGACTAACCGCCCAACCCGTGGCACCCAGAGGTGTAGCCCCTCATGCTAGCCGAGCATAGTATGGTGTTTTGCGCTGCCATTGTGGTTAAGAAAATAAAGCTGCGCCTTCGCTAAGAGCTATAGCTTTTGGTGCAATGGTAAGCGCTTGATCTTGACACTTCGCGCATTTTTGTTTCTTGCTTTGCACTTATAGTTGAACCTTCTTCTTTTGAGCTTCAAAGACATCAAAAAATATCTACAAATCCTCTTTGTCTATGCTTGACAATCTTTTATCCTTTGCAAATTGATCCTCCTTTCTTAATTTCCTACAAAGCAAGATCTACCAATCATTTAGTCTGTACAAATGCAAATTTCTAAAGCGATACCACATTGTGCAATAATGTAACACATTTAATATAAATGCTACTAAAACTCCTAAAACACACCAAAACAAACACATTTTACTCTACTAAAACACATAAAAATAAGCGTATCAATTTGTAGGAATAAAAATTATTGTAAAACAACTTAAATACGACATATTTATCATTGAATTCGCCCTTGTACCATCAAATACTAGCTCTTGAGTGTTAGTATGTGGTGTAAACTTACAGTATCACTTTTTAAAGTTCATAATCTATCCTTGATATAAGGACAAATTTGTCCTAGTTTATTCCAAAAAAAAAAAGAAAAAAACTTTCCTATAATTCATGGATAGTTATCAGTTGAGATTACTCGCTAACTATAACTTCCTCACACCAATTCCCTCTACTTCTATCATTTTTTTATACAGTTATCAAGATTATAAAAGAATTTGACTAATAAAAATAAATAGCCAAATGATATCAACACTTCGAAAAAGGTCAAAGCATTCCATTCTTATTATTGTTGAAAATGACTTAAACACCTATAACCTAGACTCTCTAGCAATTTAAATGTCAAAATTTCCAATTTTACACTACTTTTATGAAAACCTCTATACTATTAACTACAAAGCGTTATTTAATAAAAAACTCAAACATTGTTTAATATTGTAAAAATTCACCTAAAAAAAATAAGGGTTAATTGCATTTTGCATCCTTGAACTATCATCGAATTGCAGTGCGCACCTCGAACTTTTAATTGCAGCAATCTAATGCCTTCAACTATCCATTTTTGGCATATTTTGAAATCATGTTAAATCCAGTGGAAAAGAAGCGATGTGACCGGTTTACCCAAAATTTGTTTTCGAACTTCCAAAACTTCTTTTAAACACATTTATCCCGCCTTAGCTTCATTTGTATTTATGCTTTTCTCTATCAGTCGCTTGTTGTCTCTCTTAGACTGTCAAATGCTACTTTTTAGCAAAAAATAAAAAAGAAGGCATTATTAGATCTTATTGTGTCCGATTAGCTTGATCGATTAGCAAGACAAGGGCTAAGAAAGACTAGTGTTGAAATCAAAGGACAAATCCTTCTTATTCGAAGCTGAAATAGGTAATACGATTTTTTGATTTCATGCATGGTGTGTGCATGAAGCTAATGCTTTTGATTCGTTCATTTTATTATGAATCTGGACATATGTGTTGGGAATATTCATTATGTTTGATCTTATTGTGAGATGGGAATAAGGCAGAACAATGGAAGTGTGGCTAAAGTTGAGGTTCAAAGAACAACACCTACAGCACCTACACATTTTCAGAGAATGTTCATTATGTTTGATGGACAAAAAAGAGGATTTTTGGCTAGGTGTAGACTTCTCATAGGCTTGGATGCATGTCAGTTGAAATGGCCATTTAGACTGTAGTAGAAGTTGAATGCAAAGATTCTTAGATGTGGTTTCTCGGGTTGATGATTGATATACTTGGAAGACCAAAAGATATGGGGTGGGTATTTATATCAGATAGGCAGAAGGTAATACCAGTCATTTAATTTTTTTTTTAAATATTTTGTTCTTTTACATGCTACTACTGGTTTTCTTAATTCTATGAATATTCAATTTTTTAGGGACTTGTTGAGACTTTCAATGAAATCATGCCTAGAGCATAACATAGGTTCTGCATCAAACACTTGTATGCAAATTTTAAACTATTATTTAAAGGAAATGACTTGAAGGAACTGCTCTGGCTTGCTGCATCAGCATATACTATGGAGGAATTCAAGAAATATATGAATACTTTGAAGAATACAAATCAAGCTGCCCATGGCTGCTGGTTGATGAAGATTCCTGCAAACACATGGCCTAGATCTCACTTCTCATGCAAGCCCAAGTGTGATTTATTATACAATGCAAGTTTCTCAACCAGTTTATTAAAGAATCAAGGGACAAGCCTATACTCACAATGATGGAAGTGATTAGGTTGCAACTGATGAAAAGGTTTCAAGAGAAAAGGGAGGCATTTACTACATTTACTGGTGACATTTGTCCTAGGATTATGGAGAAAATTGAGGAGACAATACTCGGAACAACTACATGTGATGTTACACTTGCTAGCAAAGAGATCTTTGAGGTTGTAATTGGAGTTAAAAATTTCATTGTTGACATTAGGAAGAAATCTTGTACCTATAGAAAATATGATTTAACTGGAATACCATGTGTTCACGCAGCTGCGGTTCTTATGCATATAAACGTTAATATTCTAGAATATGTTCATCCCTAGTATAGCAGACATGAAATGGACTAACATATCAGCATAAGATCACACCTATTTTAGATGAAAGCATATGGGTTGAAGATGAATATGATCCTATTATGCCGCCCTTTAAGAGAACCAAACCTGGTAGGCCAAAAAAGTCATGAAAGAAAGCACTAGACGAGTTGAAAAGTGCTACTTCAACTAGTAGGCATTATGAACAAGCAAAATGTGGTAACTATAGTGCATATGGACACAATAAGAGAAGATGCAAAGAACCTCCAAAACAGATTGAATCTTTTAATACACCCACTTCATTTTGTCACAATATGTTCTCATCATATTTTAAATTCAAACTAATTGTGTTTTGCTTGGTTAGGACGCTAATAAAGGGAAGAAATCAGGTATTGCTGCCAATAGGAACGACAAGGGTAAGCGAAAAGTCATAGAAACAAGAGATACAATAATTGACATTCCTGTCACCTATGCTACAGGTAGAGGTGCAACTAGAGGAGTAAATAGAGGTAGGGGTGTTTGAAGAGGAAGGGGAAGAATAAGTGGGGGAGGTAATCTGCTTGGTCCTGATAGATTGTCATTCACTGGTGAATCCCTTATAAGTAGGATAAGAGAAAGCTTATCTGGTATAGGAAAGAATTATTCAAGACCTAGAAATCAAAAAACCAACCAAAATACTCTTGCTTGTCTAAGTCAGCCAAGCACCTTACAACCAACCTAAAATGTTGCAACTCAAGGTCCCAACTAGGTGAATCAGTCCAACTCTACAACTTCAATGTACCCTCACCCAATCCAACTATTTCAACCTCCTCAACCAACTTCAAATACACATGTATTTGGTTACTTAAATATATCATGTTAAAGGTCAATACAAAAATGATATCATTTTTTATTTTAATTTACATTCATTTGAACTATACAGGTCATTATAAGGCAAACAAGGTTTGGGGGAGCAATGTTCAGGCAAACTACAGTTTCTAGTGGCAATTCAGGACAAAGAACTGAAGTTGGAACAAGTTCTAGTCAAGTATCCAGTAACATTACACCTTCCTGTAGACACCAAATTTTTGGTGTTTTATTATTTATTTATTTATTTACTATTCGTTTTTATTTGTTCTATTTTTATTTTGTATTTACTTTTAGTTTTAGTTATTTTATCCATTTTAGCTAGACTTTCTCAAAGGAAAAAGAAAAGTGTTCCAAAAAAATATGTTTTAGTTGTTTAGGGTTTAATTTCATTATTAAAAGAAAAAAAAAAAAAAAAAAAAAAAAAAAAAAAAAAGAAAAGAAAAGAGAAACGCGGCATGAAGCTGCGTATTGCCGCAGCCTGCAAAATGAGGACCAGGCAGCCCTTTAGCTGCAATTTGTGAAAGTTGTTTAGGGTTGGGGATTCGGATATAAATAGAAAAGGTAAGAGCAGCCGCAAAGGGAGAGAGGTTTTAAAAGGCAAAAATAAAACAGAGGGTTGACGGCTGGAGAGGTTGAAGTTCTGAGAGAGGGGCTGAGCGAGAGAGAAAAACCAGAGAGTGAGAGGGGAGAGGAAGGCTGAAAGTTGATGAGAACTTGAGGGCTGAGAGCTGGGAGGTTGCATAGCGGCTGGGCTAGGATCTTAGAGGGAAGAGGTTTTTGTAACAACGGCAAAAGTGAGAGCTGACGAGAGAGAGCAGCAGCCGAAAGAGAGAAATCGAGAGAGGAGCATACGGGAAGAGAGAGAGTGAACAGCAAAAGAGAAAGGAGAGGTTTTTGACAGCTGCAACTTGGGCAAAAGAAAAAGAGAGAAAGCTACGAAGAGAGAATGGGAGGTGACGGCTAAGCAGAGAAAGAAACTTGGAAAGATAACGGCTGAGTGAGGAAAATCTGAAGGCTTTTAACGGCTGGGGTTTGGTGAGTGGGCTGGAGAGGAAAACAGAAAAGAAACAAAGGGAGGACTTGACGGTTGAACAAAGAGAGGAGGAGCAAGGGGCCAAGGCTGAACGGAGGAACCTCACCACCACCTGAGGCTGTTCTTTGAAGAGAAATCATCACTGCAATAGCATTGTAAGTTTCCTTTCCCTTTCCTGCAGATAAATTGAACATGAAGCTATGCTTGAATCGATAAACGGGGTCAAGAGTCTTGGTGATGATTTACGATTATAGCTTAAAGGTGGTGCCTTTTGCTGGCATGATGTGCGATGGGTATGTTGTTTGTTTGGTGTGGATTGTGCTTAGTCCCTAGGCTATAGCTCAGTAACAAGACTCCATCTTTGAAAAGAAAGGACATTCGCATGACCTGTACGTTTGAATTATTGAACAAGTTGTGAAGAAGAATGGCATGTTTTTGCTCTTTTATTGTCTTGGTCTGTTCGGATGTTAGAGCAGTGTCTTGGTTGTTACTGAAACTTTTTGTTTAGACTAAAATCTGGGATTCGTCGCTTAGCTGATACACCATATGCATACCCAAACTGGAATTCTGATTTTTGGGCCTGTGCTGAGAAATGATAGGAGAGTTATAGCAGTTTTGTTCTTCCTTTTCTGCATTTTTCCAGAATTTTCGTATAGTATCTTTCAAAGTTTCTGGTCGATGTTTTTCCTCATTTCTTCGATAGTTACTTGTATGTTCGTTGTTTCTGTTTTATTGTTCCCCTGGCTTGCGTATGGTTGCATTAAAGTCTATCATGGGTTTGTGTTTTCTGTTATCCCAATCGAATTAGTTTCCAGCTCTTCTAAATGCATGAAACAAAAGTTCATTCACTCATTGTTTTATGGTCTCCCGACAGCTCCTTGGTTTGATATAGTCATAAGCATCATGTCGTAATTGCTGAAGCACTGGCTGCTATGGATTCATTTGCTGCATTTTATGTTCAGTTTTCTTATTAGAAGGTTGAGGAGATAAACTTTAGTCCGAATCTATGTTGTTTGAGCCATGGGTCAGGTTCGGATTGCATTGAAAATTCATTCAGTTTTGTTTCATGCTGGATGCGCATTTCCTTTCATTTGTCTCCCCTGTCAGGGATTCTTGCACAAGGAAAATCGCAAATGTTTATCATGATGTTTCTTGCATATGATTCTTTGATCTTCAAAGGCTGAGTTTATCAAGTGTGTTAGAGCTTAAAAAGGGTTTTGTTGGCTTAATATGAGGTAGAGTGTTTAAGTTTAGAATTTTGGCGTTAGGAAAATGCAGTGAGTTTCATTTTAGTTAGTTGCAGAAATTTCAGTTTTTTTTAACGTATGCATGCATGTTAATTCTGAAAAATTGCACTTTTTACCCCCAAGTCCCTTTTTGTCTCACTGTGGCCCGAATAATTGGACAAACCAATCAAATTGGCCCCTTTAACTTCCTTGATTGTTTCAATTGAGTCTTTGTTGGTTCCAACTTGATGAATATGAATTGTTTAGTTTATCTGAATGATTCACTTTCATGCTTATTCTCCATTTTTTTAATTTTCTTAAATAAAGTGGTGCCTTGACCTTTTTATTATTTTGGAGGGTAAGTTAGTAATTTCACTACGTTAGGGCGTCGCTTCAAGGGAGGTACACTCTATCCTTCATTTGCATTTCATTTGACCCTACGTGCTCCTACGTGTTATGTGAATATGCATGTCTACTTCGCTTTCCTTACCTCCTTGCATGCATTTACTTGTTTTTTTACTTTTATTTAAGTTTTATGGGGTATGTGTACACCTCTTGGCTTGTAATAGATAGGGCTCGGAGAGCATCTGGTCCATTTTCCCTTCCCCTTTATGCTTTCATGGGGTATGTGTACACCTCTTGGCTTGTAATAGATAGGGCTCGGAGAGCATCTGGTCCATTTCCCCTTCCCCTTGGTTGCTTGCTTTTGTTGTTACATGTTTAATTGCTTTAGTAGGCTCTTGCATCTAGTCGAGCATGCTAAGTGCTACGTGCTACGTGTTTACGAGCGTTTTGGCATGTCTACTTGCTTTCATAACCATGAATGAATGGAATGGATGAATGTACGTCACCACACTAGTCCAATGCTAGTTGTGGCTCATTAGGCCATCCCTTTTTGTTAGTGCATATTTGCATGTTCACTACATGTCATGCATTTTTCTTAGTTTTATCATTTGGCATGCTCCTCGAGCCCCTTTCCCCTCATTTTAGGATTCTTTGCATCTCATGCTAGTTAGGGTACATTTGCCTGAAGAGCCCCCTTAAATATGGGATATAGACGAGTGTGGCTTTTTCTAAGCCTTAGCACGCTTGTATTCCCTCTATCAAAGGGCAAATTGAGTCACGATTTAGGTCTCCCCGTACCCAATATGCATAAATTCCCTAAGCTCATGCATTCTCAATCCACTCTATCATTACACTTTCACTTTTGTCTCATTTGCACACATGCACCCTTTTATCACTTTCACTTGCACACGAACACTTTTTTTATCTTCACTTGCACACGAACACTCTTATCTTCACTCGCACACGAGTACTTTCATCTTCATTTGCACACCGACACTTTCGCACTTTTCTTTAAATTGCATACATGCATTTTTTGCCCACTTGCACTTGGAGTATATATATTTGCATTCAAAGACATTTGCACACCTCCACTTGTATCGTATTTTATCAATCTTCCCACTTCACACAAACTCACACTTTCACATGGCATGCATTCCACTCATTTTTTACGTCATTTAGGTTTAGGTGTGACCTCTCCAAAAGGATCATTATTGGGCTTCACAATTAATGTGATTGGCACCACTCAACCTTTGAAGAGAAATTTCCCCCATGTCCCCCTAGGTCTAGGTTTTTGCATTCATATAGACATATCCAACACGCGATACATACCTTGGGTAGAAAAATTAGGAAAAATTGGTTTAAGTCACGCAACTAGCCTTGGCTAGATCGAAGGGGTGCCTTGGATTTTTATCCTTGCCTTCCCCTTCGTCAAATGTGACCCCCGATCCCTCTTTTGGTTACGCAGACCCAAAAGTTCTCAAAAAGGGTTTATTTACTTTTTTTATTCAAAAACAAAAATCATTTTTGGGTGACTTGGTACACCCTAACTCTATACCAAGTGGCGACTCCATTTTTGATACAAAAAACCCTTTTGAACTTCACTTGGCCAAATCGTCGCATTCAAAGTCCCATGGCCTTTTACTTTTCATTTTGCACACGTTCACACCACACACACCATCACACATTCACTCAATCGAAAAGTGGGGCGCGACACTTCCTACAAGGGACCATCTCAATCCAACTCAAAACACGCTACTTTCTAAGTATTTTCATTGACAATTCTGAAGATTTTTTGTAGTTACAATTTGTTGTTTTTTGTTTATGACTTCGATTTTGTGTGGGAACTTACGATCCCTATTTATGTTGTCTACTTTGCTAGTTTTATTGCTACAAAAATGATGGATTAGTATGCTTTTGATTTAGTATTTAGCTGTTGGATTGCTATAAATAATGATTGATTTGAATAATTTTGCTATGTTTGGATGGCTTGTGGTGCCTTGACAGGTTCTCTCTTGCAGCATTTAGTCCTCTGTTAATTGTAGAATGAAAAGCCAGTGGGAAAATTCACTGAGAAATGATCAACTTAGGATCTATAAGCTGGAAGTGTTTAAGAACTGTTCAAGTCTCATATAGACATTTTCAGAACAAAAAAGAGGACGGCAGGAGGAGAATGTGCCGTACTTCCATTCCAAGCATTAGTAGTAGCAAGATATGCTGCAATAACTCTTCCAAAAAAACAAGATGACGCAATAATTTGACTAATCACTCGAAATGATATGCAAACACTTCTCTAACACTTCAATCGCTCTTGACAGCAACTTACATGATTGCATAAAAGGACATAGCATCGAACAGTATAAAATAGGATCCAAGGATTGGGTTGAATGCCAAGAGAGAGATCTTCACAGAAAATTCGAGAAAAGGACAGTAAAGATGAGATAACTATGAATTTAAATCAGCCATCATTTGCCAAATATGATAGGTCTAGGCGTTACCAGATGGTCTAAGGTCCTACTTAATCTATATAGTAGACAATTGTTAGATGAACTATAGATGTAGGATATTCCTGTACTGTCTTTTAGAATTAATTCAATAATACATTCCAACCTACAATAGAGAATGTTAATTGAATGCATCACAATTCGCTACATTGAGAAAAATATAATAAACGATATGGGCAGATGGCAAAATTTCAGAGTATAAACACACGGTTCTCCCTGGTGGCCAATTTCTCAAAAGTTTAGATGTGTAATTTCTTGATAGCTTTTATGACCAAGACATTCTACTCAATTGTTGGTCATGATTTCTGTAGCTAAACTTGAATTGTAAAGAGTTCCTTGAAATGTATCACAACGTTTTTTCTTCTATACTGAACCTAGATAAGTGTCATAGACTAGTCATCTTAACTATTTAGCATCTTAGACTTAACGCACTGATGCATGATATTTAATGGATTCACTTTAAGTTTATAGGATAAAATAACGAGAATTTGGATTCACTTGTATAACATTGACAGAATTTGGAGGGTATCTTCATTGCATATAAAGGTAACAAATATCGGTCCATGATCAACGATCATAGTACCACTTCTTGTAAACCATCGGATGACAGCAATCTTGTCTTGCAAGATAAAATTGATTTTGAGAATTTTAGGAGGCTTGCTGGAAACTCCCATCACTATATTGTGATAATTTGTTCCATCATTAATGATGCATCAATTATTATTTGATGAAGTACAAAGCAGCTGCATCTTTAGATGTAATTGTTGCAAGATGAGGAGAGTTCTACGTTAATTTGGGAAGATAGATTAAGGATGAACATAGGATTTTGATATTTGAGCAGGAATGATTACCAGATAAAGAAGGGCATTTTTGGGACAAAAATAAATCAAGGGTTCAAAATGTCTTTTCATTATTTTTGGGTTGGATGATTCTGGTTGAATTTGCTAGAAATTGGTTTTCATGTGGTGATCTGCAAAAGATGGATAGTTGACGGCACTAGATTGCTACAATTAAAAGTTCGGGGTGCACACTGCAATATGGTGATAGTTTGAGAGTGCAAAATGTAATTAAACCAAAAAATAATGAACACGTTCAAAAGTAATAGACAAATCCAAAACCAAAAATCCAGTGCGTTTCTCAAGTCCTACTAAAAAATTGATCATTGCCATTAAGAATTTTCTCCATCATTAGTTGTAAAACAATTTAAGACTAATTTTAAAGTATGTAAAACTAAGTGAATTCAAGAGATGAAGTAGAGAAAGTTACTTGTAAATATATAAGGGGAATCCTAGAATATTTTGTAGGTTTTGTATTATTTCATTAAGTAAAAAAGAATAGTGGAGTGTCTAGAATTTTTTTTGGAATACTAATTATTTACCTAGAAAAAACTTTATAAATAGATAATTTAGTAAATATATTTTAAATTAATTATTCACATGGCCCCAAGAATTAGAGTTTGTAGAACCTCTGCTCAAATTTCATTCCATCCTTGCTAGAGAAAAAAAAAAGGGTTAATTACACACATATTAGGTATGCCTTAAGCACTGATTTGATGACATCTGAATCTTCTCTGCTTGGATGTGACCTGTAAACAGGCCTTATGCGTAGAAAACACAGTTCACCAACCGTTAAATTTGTTGGACCCCACCGCTTACATAACACATTACCTGTTACCACCTAATCAGGTGAAAAGTAAAACCCCTTTTGTCTTCCTTCTTTTCCCCGCCACCCCAACCGCCCAGTCGCACCCATTTCCTCCCTACTTTTCCCCATTGTTTCCCCCAGAAAAGAAAGTAGAAGAAAAGTGAAGAAAAAAAGAGAAGAAAACTGAAAATGGCGATGAACGATGATACCAACAATAATGTTAACAATGGTGAAGATTTGAAAACTTGTGTAGTATTGGGTGGCCGAGGGTTGATAGGAAGATCGTTGGTGACGAGGCTGTTGAAACTCGACAATTGGATCGTCCGAGTCGCCGATTCAGATTCCTCAATCCAACTCGATGAGTTGGACGATGACTCGCCTCTCTCCCAGGCTCTCGCCTCCGGTCGGGCTTCATATTTCCATGTGGACGTTAGAAACAAAGCCGAAGTTATCCGAGGTACAACTCTTTATTCGCAATGAACAACCTTGTTTTCAGTATCTTTTATGGTTACTGCATTTCATAGAAAATACATAGTAAAATATTTGGATAAAGTACAACCGCGAGTGCATAAAGTACAAACATGTATGGATAGGTAACTTCTGTGGGATTATTTCTTTTGTTTGATTTGTTCTTTTTCGTTGAGGTTCTTGATTTTGCGGTTCTGTAGCTTGTTTTGATGAAGGCGGTTCTTGATGGTTCTATTCAACCACCCCCACCCACCCCCCCCCCCCCCCCCCCGGCGCCGAGAAACCTTGTGGAAGTACTACCTTCCGAAGCATAATATACTGCCAGTAATTTACTTCTTTCTGTTTACTTTTACAATTATCAATATATTGACGTATCTTAGACAATTTTTTTTTTTTGGATTTTTCAACATGGGATGTGTTCTTGAGGGAGAGAATCATATACAATTCCAGTAAGCGCCTGTGCAGTTTAAGGAAATATAGTGTAATTTTAACTCATATACAATTTTTAGTTAGACGGTGCTTGTTCAGACCTGCATCGTTATTTGAATGAGGAAGGTACTCCCGGTCAGTTAAGCTATTTGCCTCCTTTGTCAAAGTTGGTGACAAAAGGTACATCAGCACCATTACTTTAGCTTGCAGCTTTCACTGCTTTTGTTCTGCCATCCATTAGGCTTTGGCTGAGCTGGAGTTGTATAATTAATTGTGCTGCGCAAGGGTACAAAGTCTAGAAAAACCAGTCTGTATTAAGCCTTAAACTTCATTTGTTTTAACACATTTCAAGTTTGTGCTCCCTCACGATAAAACTGATTTGTTTTATTTTCTGTCACAAAAGCTTGCTATTCATTTACCATTGAGATACCTGAAGGCAACAAAAGTATTTGTCACGTCAAAAACAATGTGCTTTTTCCTGTTACTTGTCTTCTGACTTCACTTTTTTCACTCTTTTTTTTTCCGGATTACAATGGAAGATATGTTTTTGGATGTCCACATAAACTTTTTATTTTATTGGGATGAGCAGAGACTGGGGGTAGGGAAGATTCTTGTATATGACAACAGTTGCTTGTTGCAAGTGCAAATATGATGCATAAGTTTGAGCCCTATTTGTAGGTTTATTACTGTATGATGTTCTCCATTCTGATTTGTCTCTCTCTTTAAAACACCATGAAAGGGTATGTCTTCATAGATCAGTATTAAAATTTTCATTCTGTCAGGCGAGAGTCAAGTCAGGAGGGAAGATTATTTCTGTGCGTCAATAATTGCTTTATTGTAAATGTTGTTCAATATTGATGCATAATTATAAAGTTTAATGACATTGCAGTTTGATCATTTACATCTGTTTTCCTATGTTTCTGCTCTTCTTCTGATGACATGAGGAGGCCTTCGATGATCAGCATGAACTCTTTGTTTTTGATGCCTCTGTTTCTTTGAGGCACTGTTTGGATGGAGGTTAAGGAAAGGATAGGAAAGGAAAAGTAAGTGGTGGAAAAGATAGCATAGGAGAATAGAGGAAAGTAGATTCCACCTCATGTTGGTTGGATATATAGGAAAGGAAAAGCAAGGAAATCTAAATACGTTGTTTGGTAAAAGAACAGAAAGGAAAGGAGAGGGAATTAATTAAATATCTGTGTAATATTACGGTATTTTAGGTGCTTCAGGACAGAATTATTGAAATGGCTTCCTTTGTGGATGGAAATGAAATTTAAGTAAAAATACTAACATGATATCTTCCTTTCCTTCTGTCTCCTTTACTTTCCAACCTCAAAAATCAATTGAAATGTGATAAACTTTATACACACATCTCTATTCTTTTTGTATTTCTCCTATTTGTTCAAGGAAAGGTGCCTGAGTCTTCTGTTTGATTGTTTTCAACTAAAAAATAACTCTAATATAAATGCCTTACCTGAAGATTGATAGTCTATATACAATTCCACTTTGTGGTATCCTCTCCATGAACTACTCTTATGTGTTCATTCTATGGCTCTTTTTTCTGGTCCTGTGCAGCTATTGAAGGTGCAGTGGTGGTATTCTACGCTGATACATTGGATTCTTGTACTCATGATTTCTATTCTTCCTACACAATCATTGTTCAAGGTACCGCAACTCAATTGTTCATAGTCATCTTTGGACTCAACTCTTTTGATTCATAATACTTCATAAGCGCAAAAAGTAATTAACTATGGTGCCTGTGCAGGTGCCAGGAATGTAGTAAATGCTTGTCAAGAGTGTAAAGTGAAACGATTGATCTACAACAGTCCTGCAGATATTGTTTTTGAAATTGGATGTGACATAAAAGAAGGAGATGAATCCTTGCCATATGTCGGAAAAGTAAGTGTTTCCCATGGTCATTTTTAATGGCATGGTGGCTCATTTCCTCTTCTCTACGTTCTAAGCACTTTTTTCCATCCCTCTATTCCTTTTCGACACATTCCTTCTACAGTTTGGCAGCATGTTGACTGATCTGAAGGCTCAAGCAGAAGCCATGGTCTTACTTGCCAATGATATTGATGGCCTTTCAACATGTGCAATTCGATCCAGCAATGTCTTTGGACCTGGTGATAAGCAGCTTGTGCCGTTGCTGGTTCATATGGCAAAATCTGGATGGTCTAAGGTTTGAAGCTATTTGCGTTCATTTGCCATTTAGTTATCAGTGGGGTAGTAATGTAAAATACTTAATGGATTTCTTTTGGGAATAGATTTGTTGTTTTCTGATTGGAACATCAGGACTTGGTGAAACTACGTTGAACTAAGCTTCATTGGTAATTAAGTTCTGCACTCTATAAATACTGTTGGCTCTTTCCATTATGGTCTATTCATCCTCCAACCCAGCTCTCCCATTGGGTTGTTGCTGCTAAAGTATGGTTGTTTTTCCTATAAGATTAAGTCTCAATACTACTTGTTGAAGAAAGGCAACAGGAGGAGAAAAACCACATAGAGGAATTGAAAATTTTCACCGTGTAATAGTTTCTTTTAATTACTGAAGGTTAAATGCTTACAGACCATTGCTGACTATTCATTTTCTTATTATTGTGTTCTATGATATGGTTTTCAGTGTAATTTTCTCATTTTAGTGTCATCGTTTTACTTTTTCCTGGTACTTTTAAGTAATGTCATTAGTACCTTATTCTCTTGGATTAAGTAATAGGCTTTCTCATTTCAGTTTATTGTAGGAACTGGGAAAAATGTATGTGAGTTTACCTATGTGGAAAATGTTGCCCATGCCAATGCCTGTGCAGAAGAGGCTCTAAGTTCAAGGATGGTTTCTGTATCTGGAAAGGTATTTGAAAATTTTGAGCTTCTCTGTTGAAAGCCTCTTCCTCCTTCCCTATCCTGGTTTACGCTGTGCAGAAAAATAGCTAATTCAATTTTTGCAGGTATTTTTTATCACAAATCTTGAGCCCATTAAGTTTTCGGACTTTGTGTCTGCCATGCTGAATGGCTTGGGTTACCAGAGGTATTGTTATATGGAGTTCTATGGCACGGAATGAGCTTATGCTGAGCTTTAATGTCCTTAGAACCATTTTTAATTGTTTGTAGCAAAGTATGAGAATTTTATAAATTTGACCATTTGACTTTGGTCCTCTGAACTATTAAATGCATATAACCCTTCTGATTTGAAGGAAAACTTGGTATTTTTCAATATCCCTTACCTGAAACACTAACGGCTGTCATTTCCCTTCACATGGAATGCACTCAATTGAACCATTCCAACCATAGTTACTGGAGTAATAATGGCATTATCAGCGATTTTATCTAAATATAGTATTGTTTATATGGCACATAGGCTTGCCTAGAACATAAATGTGCCAAAGCAATAGTTTAAGATGAAGACACAGGGTATAATATCTCTCTCATGGACATTGGAAAATTAGTGCTGTTCACCTATAATCTGGTATTACTCCAGGTTGTGTAATATTCATGCAAAAAGAAATATGTAGGTTGTGTAAAATTTGCAAGGTTTTGGCATGCTATAAGGTTTTGTAACAGTTTGCCAAAAAAAAAAAAAAAAGAACTTGCGCTATCTATTTGTATGAACGTGAACAATAAGATCTCCATTTTTAGGTTATGTTTTGGGAGGTGTTTGACATCTCTTCACATCAGAATTTTGATATCCTATTTTGGTATCTTTAAATATGGGCTACTCTTTAGAATGTTAGGGCAATAACACTTAAAAGTAAAACCTTTGGTTCAAAATATGGCAGGTTAAAGTAGTGATTTTTTTTTTCATATTCCCCTCTAAATGCTGTGAATGCTGATGTATTTCCTTGTTAATTATGAATAATGCATTGCCTGTTCAGCTATAACGTTGTCCACTATCGTTTGATTTTTGTGCTTTGATATTCATGGGTATGGTGATAGTACCACAAACTATAAGTAATTGGCTGTTCGGGAGCTCCATGTGGTTCTATTCATTGTTTTTCCTACTTTTGGGGAATGAGCAGTAATCTATTGTAGGGAATAAATTGTGGGAAAGGTGGTATCTTGATAATATAGCTTGAAAGCATTCCTTGCCTTTTGTTGTTGTTCTATTTTACAATCATCACTGCATCTTTGTTATGTCTAATACAGATATAATATATGTGTGTTTGTGTTTCCACATCTTTGGTATGCCTGTTACAGCTAAATTATCTGTGCATTCTGCTTTTGGCGAATGAGAGATGGTGCATTGTAGGGCAAAGATTGTGGGAGAGGTGATATCTTGATAATTTGGCTTGAGGGCATTCTTTTGTTGGTATGTAGTTCTAGTTTACCATCGCCAGTGCATCTCAGTATGTCTAAACAGATAAATTGTCTCTGCATTTGTGTTTCCAGAAGCCTCTGCAATGACACCTACTTTGTAAGAGGGTTTGCTTTAATGCATCTAAATTGCTTTAATTGCTGATGATAACAGATGCTGCATTACTTCTTAAAATTAGGGCTTTTTTCTGGTTTCCACTCCATGACTTGAAACTTCCTGCAATTCTAGTTTGACATAAAATATTCTTTCTGACTTCAGGCCAGTGATAACTCTTCCTGCTGTTGTGATAAAATATCTCATATTTCTTGTAAATCTGATGCGTCTGAAAATGGACTCCACATCAGTCAACAGGGTTCTTGAATTAAGTTCCTGCACTAGGACGTTGAACTGTTCTTCAGCGCAGAAATATATTGGGTACTCGACAGTTGTTTCACTGCAAGTAGGTAGCCTGGCTAGTTGTTTCATGTTTATATTTTTTTGATTATATTAATTTTACTCATGGTTGTGGCTTTTTGTGTTATGTGTTGTGTTTTTGATGGTAAGTTTTGGCCTTGTCGGCATATATAAATTGGCCAAAACTAGTGTATCAAAAGATCACGTCTGCAAGTCATGGGTCATGGTGATATTTGAGTCCTAGGGTGGTTACTCATCTAAGTTTTCTTATTTATTTTTTATTATTTTTCTTGTTAAGGCTTTCCCCATCTGGGTTATTTTGGAATCTGCTGTTCGATTTCAACATTCCACATGTGATTGAAATTTTCTTAATTTTCCTTTTGCAGATTGTAAAACTACTACTTGAAAGAGAGAATATTTTGTTGTAAGCATGAGCAGCCTCTAGTTTTCTTGGCTACAAGAATTTGAAATTGAGTCTCTTTTACTTGGTTAGAGTTTTATCCATCTACAGTTTGGTTTGAACTTAAATACGGAGAAATAAAGATCTTTAGGAATAGAAAGACTTTTCTGGTGAAAGCTCAAGAAAGCTGAATTTTTTAGCATCAAAATTGAAAGCAGACACCTGTAGGGGTTGGTAGAGGTACAGTGAAGATTGAGTAAAGGCGGCATTGCTCTCTAGACTACCTCAAAATTCAACAAAAGTTGCCTTGTGTGGAATAAGATTACTTTTAAATTAGGATTGAAGAACGACTTAAAGTTCACTTCACGTTGTAAGTTTTTTTAAACATGACATTGTTTCATTTTCTTTGGTTATAACCTTCAACTTTTCAAAGGTTAGAGCAATGTTAGATCAGAGTAACTTCCACACACTTCTTTCATTTTTTATTTTTCTTGCCTCCTTTGGACAAATGACTGAAACTTTTCCATTCCTTGTGTGCTTTCTGCTGAATTTTTTTCCCGTCTTGTATTCTCTTATCCTTCTTAATGGGGGAAGGGAGTAGTTTTTGGAATTTGTTGTTAAGCATCTGCTCCTCTGCTTTCTCCATTCATCTGCTTTGGTCTTGTTCCCATCTACTGTCAATACATCTCCTGATGTTATCATGATAGTAATATAAGATGCATGAAGGATTTATCTTCTTACTTTGTGATAACACCAATCTTTTTTTATCATGTTTACGTTTCCAAATTACAGCTGATAGTAGTGCTATGATTTGCTAAGCCCAGTAACTGGTATGCACATGATTTGTTATTTTGCTTGACTTCTGTCCATCTACAGGAAGGGATTACGTTAACTGTTGAATCATTCTCTCATATAGCCCAAGACTCAATTACCAAATATGGTGATTTTGCTGAACAATCAAAAGCAAACAAACTTCTAGGAAATGGGAAAGGTGCTGCCATATTTTCGAGTTTTGATCCTTTCTATATCATTAGAGTAGTAATAACTCTTTCAGGCTATATGAAAAGATCCCTACTCGAATCTTTTTGTTCTTTAAATTCACAATCTGTTCGTTAGATAAATGTGGCTGGTAAAGCCAGTTGAGATTGTCACTCAAGATAATTGTAGAGAATTTTTTACATGTATCTCTTCTAGCTGTAATTTCTTTTCAAAATTTGATGTTTATTATTTTCTGAGAATGCTTATGATTGTGTTTATACACACATGTATATATATATATATATATATATATATATATATATATATATATATATATATGTATGTGTATATGCACGTTCATGAGTGTCCATTTTGGTAGACCTGTGAGGAAAACTTTGGCTTGTATCGAATTATTGTTTTTGTCCAAAATGTATACCTTGTTTATAATGTTCTGTTATGTGCTTCATGTCCAAATACTACCTGTGGACTTGAGAGGAGGTTGATAGGAGGATTAGGGTTGAATTGTTCTTATTAATGTTCTCTTGTTTTTATCTGTGCACTGACATTACATAAGATGATATTGCAGCTGCAGATATTTTGCTCTGGAGGGATGAGAAGAAGTCTTTTACTTGTTTTCTTTCTTTGGTTCTCTTCTACTACTGGTTTTTCCTTTGTGGAAGAACTTTTATCTCCTCTCTTTCTAAGCTTCTGCTGCTGATTATTGTTTCGCTGTCATTGTATGGTCGTCTGCCATCAACTGTGTAAGTATGAGAGTAAATAATTTTGCATTGCAGGATAATTTTATCTGTCATTTCTTCTTCCAGATGGATCAAAAAAGAGTAAAATGTGGCCGACCGCTTTTTCAGTTTTCTGTCCCTAAACATCTTCTGTTTCCATTCTTTGTTTTTACTCTTTTGTTTTCTGGAATAAAATGCACTCAATTTGTCCTAGTAAAGATGATGGTAACCAGAGTTCAGATTGGAGGCTTTTTGTTTAACTATTTCTAGGGCATAAGAGGCCTCTTTCTTGGGGGCATAGCCTTTAAAGGTTCTCCAAGCCTTGATCGTATGTGTCTATGCAACAGATCTGGTGTCACAGTTCCAAGAGTTCCATCATCTTATTTCGAGATATCAGAAGCAAGTATGAGAAACACTTTCTCAGCAATAGGATACATGTGGAATTCTGGGTGCCATTTGGTAGAGTCATTGGCTCAGGGAGAAGATTGGAATGCTTTCATCATGGTGCGCACTGTCTTGAGGCTCATCTCAATTGTGGACTATATAAGTTTTTGTTTATTCTCTGGTTTCAATTGAAATTCACGTCAGTCCTTCACACTAACTTCATTCTAATCTCTTTTAAGATTAGTTCCACAAAAGTAATCCTTCTTTTACCCCCCCAAAAGTTTGTAATAACTGGAGTTTAGTGATGCAAATGCATCTGAATTTTTTTTTTTACCTGATTTGCTTCTGTTTAATAATTTTATTCTCCACTTTTGCGATTCTTATCTCATTGCTTTTAGCTTTTGAAGAGCTTCAATGAGCAAACATTTGCAAAATTGACTAATTTCTGTTTTCACAAATTTAAGAAAATTTTGGAAGTGGTCTGCCATAGGGAACCAAATGGTACAAACTAATTTGTGTGCAGTCTTTTTATAAATGTCCTGCCTCAGGATTCACAAATATGGATAACCTGATCTCTTGTTCCTCTCTGAATTTCTAGAGTTGCATTCTGAGTTAGTTTCATACTCTTATTGCAATTGAGCAGTTGGCAACTAAATGCCAGATTTGTGTCCTGATTTTCAACCCTTTTCTGTTTCTGAGTGCAAGTATCATATCTGCAAGTAGAGTCCCTAAATGTTCTTCGCTGGAAGGATTTGAATTTCATTGTTGTTTCCTTGTACAACAAAAATCACCAAGTCAAATGAAGCAGATGGTATCAATTGTTTGTCAGTTTTTCTTTACTCTTATCGTGACATGTCTGGCATCTGAAAATTATGCAGATAGTAGCTTTGCTGTATTCTTTCAAGCTCATTGATCTCTTGTTCCTCTTTGAATTTCTAGAGTTGCATTCTGTGTCAGTTGCATACTCTTATTGCAATCGTGTAGTTGGCAACTAAATGTCAGATTTGTGCCGAGTTACAACCCTTTTCTGTTTCTGAGTTTTAGTATATATCTGCAAGTTGGGTCCTTAAATGTTTTTCACTTGAAGGATTTGAATTTCATCGTTGTTTCCTTGTACACCAAAAATCACCAAGCCTAATGAAGCAGAATGGTATTAGTTGTTTGTGAGTTTTTCTTAACTCTTGCTGTGACATGTCTGGCATCTAAAAATTATGCAGATAGTAGCTTTGCTGTATTCTTTCAAGCTCATTGCATCTCATTCCTTGATTCTGGCAACTGGTATTGGTACGAATCACTTACCATGTCATTTTTTACTTTGACTGTTGACATTGAATTTGGAGTTATGTGACCAGGCTTATTTGTCATTTTTCTCATACAGCATTGATCCTTGCTTTCAATGTATTCTTCATCTATGAGCAATATGAGGAAGAAATTGATGGGGCCGTCACATCTTTATTAATCCACACAAGGAAAGCTGGGGGCTGGTTGTTGATGAATCTGCCTAGCCCTATGGTGTCGTTGCTTCCTGGCCGTGGGACATCATCAGAAAAACCGAGCTACACATTCAAGGCCGAATAATAACAGCTCACTAGACCTCGGCGTGACTCACTTGCTTGAATTTTCCAGGGTGGATGTGTAAATAGGTTAGATTCCCAATTTAAAGTAACCCTTTACTAAATTGACAAAGTAGACAAGTGTCTGCAAACACCCAAGGCAAAAAGTTGTAGAATGGGGAAAGAAGTTATTTCTGATGCTTTTACCTGGCTATCTTCTTAATGAAGAGCAGCAACACTATATTGGATCGACTCTGTTCCGTCGCTTCAAACAATATATTCTGAACTAAAGATACTGTAGAGTATTATTATTTGGTCCAAAAGATCCATATGTAGGAAAGTATGTAGATGTTGAAACACGTTTTCAAACTTTCAAAGATGTTTATCTTCCAAATCAGCAAACATCATGTATCGTAGCTGTTTTCAATTCTAATCAAGGCAAAGGTGTAACGAGTTCCTTCTTAACAACTTATGTAGTAATTTTATGCAAAGTGAGATAAGTCTTGTATGCCATGAGCAAGATTTACAATCTTAGCTGATAAAAATAAAGAGTTTTTAGAAAATATTTTGGAATGTTTTTGAAAAATTTTACTGTAGCAGAGTTTTTATAGTATGTTTTGAAATATTTTTAAAAAATATTTTGGAATATTGAAGAATAGAAGAGTTTTTAGAATGTATTTTGGGATATTTTTTAAACATTAAAAAAAATTAGATTACTTTTTAGAGTACTTTTTAAAAATTTTAATAGTATTTGAAAAATTAGTTTTGAAAAACTTAGCAATCCAAATAGAGTCGAAATTTTTGCTCTATATGCTCATCAAGTGAAAGAAAGTGCGGGGTATTATGTCTTTCACCAATTGAAATAGCATCACCATTTTCGGCAGCTAATGTCGCAAAATGATCGTGTGTAAGAATTGGCGCACATTAATATTAACTAAGTTATATTTCAGATCATGAGTTAAAAGATTGCTTTCTTCAGCAAGTTTGCAACTGTTAGTGATCTTATTCTTTCTATTGCTGCAAAATGTACCATTTCATCCCTAATCCCAATTCCAAATCAAACCAAACTCCAGCCGTTTTTTTTCTCTATTGTCATCATCCACCGATTGGAAGTGGATTGTGCAGCCGTGCAACTAGCGGAAGGTGGATCTTGGAAGCAGGTGCAGGCGTGCGCGTGCAGAAGGTAAGATATCAGCCGTGCAGCTTCAAATGCTTTTCGTTCTTTTGCTTATCAGCTTTCTTTGGTCAGTTAAGATGGATAACAAACCTGAAACACTTTTTGAAGGTTTTAAGGAAGTTTGATAGTTTTAAGGCAGCTATATATTGCACAGTCTGAGGACGAAGAAGAAGAAGAATTACAAAAAGAAGTAAACTTTGACAAATACTGGTGCAGAAACAAGGAGCCATATTTATGCTTCCTATAATTCTGATTTTTAAAAAAAAATACTAGAAATTTTTCTGCAGACACAAGGAGCATGAGAGGGGTGACTTTATTAGCAATTGTTGTGAGGTGGAAGTAACTGGTTTTTTGCCTTTTGGTGGATTTTCTTTGTATTAAAAATTGGAAAGGGAAGACGCATAAACTTGGGAAGATGCATGTATCTACTTAATCTCTTCTTCAATGGTGGACCCTAGCTGGTTGGGCAAGATTTTCTTGCGTTTTTTTATTTTGACCGTGCTGTGTTAGTTTATTGTTGTTAGGTCCTTTAATTTATTAAACTTAGGCAATTTGCAACTGAGCCAGTTGTTGTTCCTGTAAATTCCACCACGGTGAACTGACAAAATGGGGCATTGAACAAGTAGAATCTTGTCCTAAAACTTTCGAACACGAGCAAAATGGGGCATTCGAGCAATTTCGAACACGAGCTCAAACCTCACGATTTTCTTACGAATCGAATTCGAGCATGTGAAACTAATATTCGTCGATCTTGAACTCGATCTCGAGCCTTAAGCACTTTGTCGAACTCGAACTCAATCAAACTAGTATTCGAACTCGATTCGATTCGTTGACACCCCTAGTCGGAACCATTTTGACTTTTTTGGATTATTCTTCATGCAAATTTGCACAAATTAAGTTGTAATTTTAGGTATCATACTTTTTGTGATCCATGTCTGGTAGTATAGTGTCTTTCTTTATAACAACTAATATAGGTACCATACTTGGTTGGGGGAAAAAAAACAAAGGAAAAGTGTATCGTGCTTGGTGTTTATGAGTATGTTTCCTCATAACTGCTTGAAAGGAGGAAAAATAATAAACAAGTAGATATCACCTAAACATACCACCTATTTTGACCAGTGTCACTATGCATTAAGGAGTACTGGGACAAACTTACAAGTGGCTGATGAGTCATTAGCCTAATATATAGCAAGTGAGGTAGATGCCACTAACAGCTTTATTGTGAGACCTCAATCTTGAGATTTCAAACCATAATCACGTGATTGATTATTCAAAAAGGTATAAAGGAAGGAAATTGTCATGAATAGAAGGTAACTCTTCTTAAGAGAAAGGCATATTATATCCTATCTCCTCTCACTCATTTCCTTCTCTATACTACACTTGCTAACTTAAGCATTGAATGAGGGAGATAGCCCCGTCTCTATGTAGGTTTCTTGGTCAAATTGTATACAATATCATCAAAACTAAGCAAACAGGTACAAGATTTTGTCCTTCCAGTTGGCGCCATCAGTGGGAAATGAAGGTAAGATATTTCTCTTTAATTAAAGAATGGCCATGAGTAAATCGCTCCAAAGGAGGTCAAGGTCCCAAATGTTCCCCAATATGCTAATGAGGAACGTGGTGCAAACATCACATTACAAGTTTAGCAAGAAGGTGATTTAAAAGTTGAGAACCCAATTCACTTAGCTAGTGGAGGTCAACAGCTAGTCCAGCAAGTGGATATGGCTCAATTTATAACTAAGCATTTTCCAATAATCCAATAGTTCGTATAGTAGCAACAACAGCAGCAGGCATAGCAGTCATTGCAGCAGCAATTGCCAAAGAAGCCTCGAAACAAGAAGAATAGCAAAAGACCCATGTTGGAGAAACCACCACAGGTTGAGTCACCGTTAGAAAATTTTAATGGGGAAATCCAGCCCTTAGCATAGGTCTTGGAAAAGATATAAAAAGTTGATGCCCCAAAGCTTAAGGCTTCCAAGCATTTCCACTACACAGAATAATCCTCCAAAATTAGATATTGTTCGACTTCAAACTCCATAGGAGGAAGAAGGATTTGCAAACTTGTCATACATGGATAGAAATCCATTTACCAGAGATATTGAAGAATGCCCTCTCACACCAAGTTTCAAGCTGCCTCATTTAGAGACATACAATGCTACCACGGAGCCGGAGGATCATGTGAGTAGCTTTGCAACTCGAATGAGATTGCAAAATTGTCCTAATGCCATCATGTGTAAGGCATTCCCAACAAAATTAATGGAAAATGCGAGACTTTAGTTTCAGAGTCTTACTGCTCTCTCTATTTATCTCATGCAAGCCATTTATCAAGAATTTAACTCGGGTCATGAACATAAAGCAGAAAGTTGGAGAAATTTTGTTAGCATATTAAAAATGCTTCACAGATGAAAGTATCCAAGTCATGGATAGAGATGCAAAGACAATAATGGTGGCCTTTATTAATGGTCTACAATCGGGGGAGTTGTACAAAGAATTGGCCAAGAAACTTCCAGGCAATGTGAAAGAGATGCTGGATCAAGTATATGAATTTGCTAAAGGAAATGAAGCCAACAGGTTGAAAAAAGAATCAAAAAAGCCAAATGATGATAAACGGAGGAAAGACCAACAAAAATGAAAAAGGAGAAGCAACTGAAAGTAGGAAAAGTTTATTTGATAAATTGGAAAAGGAAAAAAGTTTTGCAGGACAAAGACTTGACTTCAGTGGCGGATTTACACTGGGGTGCTCTCTTAAATTTCTATGATGCCTACAAAAATTTGATGTAATTTCAACTGTGCCCCCTGGAGTTTTGTGTATCTATTGGTTTATAGGTCCCCACTGCCCTTCTTAAATTCTATAATACCTATAAAAATTTGATATAATTTCAAGTGTGCCCCTTGGAGTTTTGTGTATTTATTGGTTTATATGCTTTTAAAGTTGTCTTTAATTTTACTTATTGTTACAGCTACCGTAGAAATGGTTTTTTCAATGATGAATATAGTGAAGAATCGGTTACAAAATAGAATGGAAAACACTTGGATGAATAATTGTTTAGTTACTTATACTGAGAAAAATATACTTCGTGAAGTTCAAAATGAAAAAGTTGTAAACCGTTATCAAAATATGAAAACTCGTCATGACCAATTGTAAATGGTTTAGTTTGCTTTTGAAATAAACTTATTATTACATTAATAATTTTGAGTTTGTCTTTTGATGTTTTTCATGAAATATATGCATCATTTGTACTTGTTGGTGAATATTTTTTTCTTAAAAAACTAAAACAAGAATAGGTAAAAAATTTTAGAGTTGCTTTTGCCCCCATTGAAAATTTTTTCTGGCTCCGCCACTGCTTGACTTCTTGGACCACCAGTTGATCTCAAAATATTAGCCCTTATTAAGAATGATGGTTTGCGTCAGTAGTTGAAACAAGTGACAATACTTATGGAGAAGCACCAAAAGATTTTATATTGTGCTTTTCATAGAGATGTGGAGCATCTCACTGATGATTGTAATGATTTGAAAAGAGAAATTGAATATCAAATCAAGCAAGGAAACCTCAAGTAATTTGTGCAACAAGCTAGAGATGCCCAAAGTTAGAGAGATCATCTCGCAGGTTGAGGAGGTCAGCAACCAGTTTGAGAGGTCAAAGGTTTAACCCAGGACCTCAAAGAGCACCAGCAAATCCTATCCATCAGGTCAAGTATGAAACTAATGTAGCTGAGTCATTAATACGATCTCAGAAGGACCCATTAGAGGGGATAGAGCATCAGTTAGGAAAGCATCCCTTCATGGTACAACGGTCCAAGAAGTTGATGAGAAAATGAGAATCAAAATATATAAAGAAATCATCTTTAGACCAAAAGATCCAATTCCTGTGCTTTCAACTCATTATGAGGGCTTAGTTATTCATATGTCGACAAACAATTATAAGGTGAATAAAGTATTGGTAGACTACAGCATCGCAATAGATATGTTTTTGGAAAAGCATTTCGAAAACTCAAGTTTCAAGAAAGTCAATTGATCCCAATTCAAACTTTGCTAGTGGAGTTCAAGGGGGATCCGGTTCAATCAATAGGAGTAATGACAACATAGAGGATAATAGGCCAAACATCACGGAAGTCAATAGTTCTTGATGCGAATGAGCAAGCTGACTATGGTGTTCACGTGGACCCTGTGAAGGTCCCTGAAGGACCCGTGACACGTGCATGAACTAAAAGGTTCAAAGAGTCG